CAGCCAATGGAGGGTACGCCCGCGTTATGGCAAGTACCGCACGAAAGAGTGATCAGTATCCCACTTTAAATTCAAGATATGGAAGTACCCGTGTCAACTGTACGGAAAGAAGTGGCATAGGGTGGATGTGCTTGCTATGAGATTCATACGAAGCTTAAGGCCGGAATGTCAAGCTGGAGAATCTGCCGCCATATGAGTCATCATTTTTACTTTTCAGGAGCAATTATCAAGCCTCAATGTGAAGAAGAACCACTGTTCTGCTCCCCTCGTTGGCACGTTAAGTAGAGTAGTTCAACTCATGCTTAGGAACCATTCTTCAGCTTATGATGTTTGAGCAGCAAATGCAGTACATGTCAGATCGAATCTAAATTTATGTTAAATATTCCAAACGCGAGTGTCGCAGTGAAGAATGGTGTTATGCAAATGATGTCATGGATCATAGTGCTTTTGTTCTAAAAAAAGCTCTAGACTGAAGAGTGGAGCATGTTTCGAGGTAGGGGGAGGCAATCCCTTATTTGGTTTATACAGGTCAAGTATGGGCTGCTGAACACAAGGTCTTGAGTATTAAACAGGGTGTAGAATTTTACTATTGAGCGTCTTGAACAGTGTCGTTTGGGGCTGGAAGCCTTAAAAAGAATGCGAAGGCTTGCGATGAGCAGTTTACATTTGCAGTACCAATAACTTTTTTCCAAAGTATCTAATTCCGTGATGATAGTTTGGAAAACTACTTGATTCTTTATGTAAAACAAAACAAATCAAACTCAGAATCTTAAAAACGGTAACGAAATCAGCCATGTCTTAAACAGGGTCGAGGTTTGAAGGCCTCGGTGGCACAGCTCTACCAAGACTTCCCTTAAGTGCCCCATGCCCCCCCGGGGGGGGGGGGGGGGGACGTTCTGGGCGGGGTTTGAAGCGCCCGGGGGCAACGCCCCTCCAAGACTTCCCTTAATGGCCCCCGTCCCCCCCGGGGGGGGGGGGGGGGCACGTTATCTGCCCTTATTTCTGCCTTATTGCTTTTTGGGTAGAGGTATGTTTTACTTGCCGTAGAAAACGACGTTACAGTAGCTCTACGTAATGTCTTCTGGCATTGTGATTTCGATGGCCTTAAACCTTCGACGACTGCTTTGGTCGTTATCACCCCATAAGGAACGATGCATGATCACGTATGTTTTCCTTCCTAAATCCATTTAGCTTTCAGTTTAAGTTAATAAATTGGTAAGCAACAACATCAGCAAAGATTTCCAGCGATATCTCGTTTTGGATATTCTAATAATCCTAACAACTTTACACTCACAATAAAGGTAACATTTTGAGGAAAAATCCAATTCCAATGTCGCTGTTTACCTGCTACTCTTTGAAGATTAAATTTGTTCCTTTCCTTAAAAAATAGCCAGCCACAATTCCATGCAAAAAAGACGATAAAGTGGGCAAAAAACTGCTAATAAAGAAGAAAGGAAAAGAAAAAAGGGAGCGATAGAGAAAGATCGAAATAGATTCGCAGATAAAAAAAAGTCCCAATTTTGGCTTGTGCGCATGCGTGAAAAACACAAAGGCTGTTTAATTACGTGCGATGAGTCGAAAGATGGGCCTTTTTTTAATGCAAAATTCGTTTTTAGCCATTCTTTTAGCCATGCTAATTAGCCGAAAACCAGTCCAAAGAAGAGAAATTGGTCAAAAATGCGTTTTTTTCGCTACTTGCCCGCCGTCACCAAAGGGTTAAAGAAAGTTACCAATTTGTTTCAAATTGGCCTTTTTCCAATCAAATTTGCCCAAATGCCCATTTCAGCACGAAAAAGTTTTGTAATGTGAAAAAAAAAAGAACTCCCAATGTTCAATTGGTATTAATGACAATTTTCTTATTTAGGTGGTTGAAATATCAGTTGAATACGCTAATGCTAAAAGCAAAATGGCGATCACTGTGACGTTATATATGACGTCATCACATCTTGACTAATCTTAACAATGCTAAAATAATCTCAGATACCTAGTAGGTCAAATCTTCTTTTTCAAAAACATCGTGTGTTTTTAACAGGGAATCAAAGTGGCAAATTTAAAACTCGATTTACTAAGTGAAAGCTACCGTTTTATCCTTGCTATCATGCATTTTTGTGATCCTCTTTACTCAAAGATTTAGATTATACATGTATTTTTTGTTTCCCTTAAGTGAGCCTTACAACCCCCTAGCTGATGGACTATAGGGGCGGGGCACTGTGATGAGTGGGCTGCGATTCTGGTTGTTTTCTGTTAGTGTTTACTCTTGATAGAAATCTGCACAGATTGTAGGCTGGAACACTATAAAATACGCGAGAAAAGTGATTTTGATCTACATTCGGATGAAGCCATGGAACAGGTCAGCTATAGCATATATACTCGAGTCTTGAAAGAAAGCTAGGGTTGACTCACTAATTACTAGAGTTTACTAGATGAAGTTTACCTTATATAGCTGGGACTGTCGATGAAATCAAAATTGGGGAAACATGTGATATTTACAATGAAAGAAAAAAGTGAATGAAGGGATTTGAACCTATGGAGTCCCAGAAGACGGTCCGATTCCCTAAATTCTAACCCAAGAGGGATAGCCAAGTCCATGTTTGTATAAATTTTGTGTTCACGAGAAATCCTCGTAAAAATTTGACATCATGGGATTCAAAAACGGATTCAAAACCGCGTTGACCCCATCTTGAAGATGAGATGTTCTTACAAAATGAAGGAAACATTTTCTTTTTTGATGGGTTGCTGCATATTTTAGACCACTGCCTGGTTAGATGTCATCAAACAGGTTGCTATTATCTAAGAACTGGCCAATAATGAAACTTCAGAATAGGAGAAGTGCTTACAGTGCAACTACATACAAACACAGTAAAGTATAATAAAGGCGGAGATAGTCAATTCGTCTCAACGAATTCAACTATTGGACCAAGGCTTGGCTGGTAATGGTTATTCATCATCGAACTAATTTGTTTACAGGAAGCTGGTGTATGGTCTTCTTCTCTTGATTCGAGATTCCGGAAGATATTAAAGAAGATCAAGGACATAGTCATCAGAGACGAAACGAGAGCAAGAATAAACTTCGAAAATAAGGAGCGCTCTCGAGCAGTTCAAGCCTGGAAAGCACATTTGCTTCGTTCTGTTAATCAAGAAGACGTAAAACAGAACGCTCTTACTCAGCTTGACGAAGAATCAAGCCTGATTATCATGGACTGGGTGATGAAATATCTGCCAGAGCACTGCTTGAAGTCTTTCATTTGGGTTACATATATTATGAGGCAAAAGCAAGTGAAAAAGCGTTAGAATAGTTCATAATAGTTTGTACCACTGCAGGCAAGCAAAACAAGATGGCTAGTCTGATATATTTGTCTTTTTCCATTGCTGAATTAACACAATTTTTCGGATTATCCTCGCTTTGAATGTTTTTTCTTATGCTTGTGAAGTTCGAACTTTGCGGAAAATAAATCCGCGGGACACTGCAGCTTGCAACATAAATTTTTTTGGCGGGAAAAATTCCGTTTTGCATAAAGGGTGTTTCAAGAGGTTAAACGCTTACCTGTGTCAATGTTTAGAAGTAAATACTCTTCTACTGGTAAATAAACAACCTGATTACCTTAGCTGATCTTTTTCCAGTAAATTTTCGACGTATCGTCCAGACAAATATTTTTGTATATTATTTCTTCTGTGAAAATGTGGCGGGAAAAATTTCTGCTTGATGGCATTTTAGTGTAACTTTCGACGCCGGCCATAGCGATTTACCTAAAGATACCAATTTTAAGTTTGCTGTATTTTAATAAAGGTACAACAGGATATTGATAAAATAATTTTCTTTAAAAATAAACCCCGCACGTTTGAAAAACAGCACTTCGAAAATGGCAAAATTTGGCCCACATTCGTTATCGATTCGGTGCTAATATTAAGTGCGACATTGAAAACATAGAGTTAAACCAAAGAAAGATTGTTATACTTCAAAACGTATGGCAAGTTTTTCTCAATTTGCTTTCTTTCGTATAGGTTCGACAAAAGTTGGCCAAAAATCAAGCTTTTTTAGGCCCGTGTAGGGCCCTGATTTCAAGAAAATGTTTACTTTAAAGTGAGAAAAACCCACCAACTTCTGAAAATATCACCGTTGATAATCATTTCAGGTGGCTTTTGTATGGTAAAAAGGTGGAGGTCAAACGCCGACCTCGATCTTTTGCTCCTGCCCGGGTTTTCTCTGACAATGACATTTACAGTGCTATTTTTGATCCTCAACCATTTGGTCGTTTTCGCTCCATGTAGAAGGATGAACATTTTCCTTCCAACCAGTTTTTCAGTTTAAGCTATTAAGTTGGTAAGCAGCAGCGCCAGCAAAGGTAGATCTTAGTTTCCACCGATACCTCGTATTATAAATTCTGTCAATCCTGTCAGAGTTATGTACAAAATAGTAACATTATGGGGAAAATTCACTGTCAATTTCGCAATTTATCTACTGCGCTTTAATTTGCATTCAAAATACTTATCCCTTTCCTAAAAGAAAAAAAGCCAGACACAAAAAAAGAAAGACGATTAAATGAGAAACAAAAATGGACTTAAAAAAGAAAGGCAAGGGGGAAAAAGAGAACGAGAAAGATCGAAATAGATTCGCAAAAAAGGCCACCTTTGACTTTTTCCGTCTTATGCGCATGCGCCAAAGGCAAAAAAGCTGCTTCGTCACATCCGATTGATGACAAGTTCTGTCCTTAATCTCAATCTTTTTAGCCATTCTCGTGATAATTAGCCCAAAACCAGTCCAAAAAAGAGAAATTGGTGAGAAAGGCGTTTATTTTTTCGCTACTCGATGGGGGTTACCAAATTGTTAAATACGGAACGCTTTGAAAATCCCCAAACCAACCCTTACAAACCCTAATGTTTCTGCTACGTTAAAGCAATCCTCATTCGCCAGCTTGGGATACCTGTGACTACACAAGGGTAGCTAGTGCGTCCTTTACTTTAAAAACAGCTTTGAGACCTTCTTAGAAATATTTCGTAATTTAATTACCTGCAAATACCATCTCATCACAAACAACTCCTACCACTCCACTGTGACACTCTCCGTGTTCTTGGTACTGACTGCAGTTGAGCAAGGAGGAAGCACCATCGTGGCAGTAAAATGACGTGTATAAAACTGACAAGTTACCAGCGCCAAATTCACTATCCCCATAGTGTCGTGTTGCCCAACTATAACCAAGCTTTCGACACACTGTACCGTGTGCGTCACCACCAAGGTAACTGGAACAGAGTGTCCACCAAGTTTCATTGAAATAGAACTCTATTCGTCCCTGATTTGGTGCACCTCCATCGGTAAGCCTTACATCGCCTGTAAAGAAAATCGGAAAAATAATGAGATATTTCGTCAGTGACAGTTATTTTACAGTGTAGCACGCAACAGAGAGAAGTGTGAAGTCATGTTACCGTCACAGCAAAATAATTTTGGATCTCCACCATCTTTCCGTGACAGAGACCGCCACTTGCATTGTCCAACAACGGAAGAAAATTATAGGCTACCATTTTCTTTCTGCGTGAAATCATTCACAGGAAATTATTATTTACTTTTTTTCCTGCCATATTTCCTGAGAACTATGGTTTGTTCTTGACTGAAACAGGAGTTTGCTACCGTGGCTATGTGACGTAATGACCTCTTCTCTCTTTGGGGATAAAATAATATTGCTTGAGTTTAAAAACCGGTAATACAAAACGTTTAACGCGGGTGAAAAATCTGAGCACACCAAGCGAATTGGAACAGAAAAATTAATATAGGTCAAACCAACAAACGGCGTAGTAAATGTTACAAGTTGTATTGCCATTAACATGAAAGATTGAAGTGATGACAAAGCCTTCTCTCTACATTCTGACCATGTCAGAAATGAGGGCGCGAATGGCCAGCAAATAGTAGTTAACTGATAAATGAGAAGTTAACAGTTAATTGACATTCTACTAAATCATACTGAGGACGATCGTAGATGTTAACAAACGTAACAAAGTTTTTCCTGACAACGAAGCTTTTTCGTGACATTCATGTCGTTCATCGATACTGCCCTCCTGCTGTAGTCTCGCCGCAAAAACTCGTGACAACTGCAAATGGTCGCACCAGACCCTCCTTTCGTACCAGATACGAAAAGCGTGCTTTGACCAAACGAGCTGACCTCCAGTTGATGCCCGTGGTGGCGTCTAGTGGCGTGGTCAAAGTTATTCTGAGTTTTTATCGAGATGATGACAAGGGATCGGCACTAGAACGACACAGAGGTCGCATACCTTTTGACATGGCATGATATATGATGGAAGTAGCTTGTAAACATGTAATTGATTTTATGGGTATTAAACAGCAAGTGGAAAAGTTTGGGCTGGGAGCATTTGAAGTCAAGTTGTTTAGATTGGAGAAGATCGACGGAAAAGCTAAAAAATAAGCAATTGTTACAAAGGCTCAGCTGGAAATGGAACTACCCTTTCTAAGTGGAAGGCCGACAAGCGAGCTAAATGATTGGTATTTTGTTTCCTATATCTGTTTACATCAAATTTTGTCCAGCAAGTGGGTTTACCAAACAAGTTCTGTCATTTCAGTGATAGATAAAAATGAGTTAAAAGATGTTAAAAATTAATGAGGGACAGGAGCCCATCAAATGGAGCCTCCATCTCCATTAATTTCTTGAGTCAACCCTTTCCCGAGTAGATTTATAAATAGAACGGCTTGTTGCCCGCGAAAAGTGTCGTATTTCCGTGATTATCGTATGTCACCGTGAAAAAATGAAGTTGGATCAAGTCGAACTCAGAAGCCCGTCCTTCGACCGTTTTCCTTTTTTACTATACGTCCATCTTTACAATTTTACAGCCGCTGGTATCTGGGTGTCATGAAATAAAAGTTAATGAATTACCCGACTGAGACTGAGCATGAAGCGATGGGACAAAGACAGCAAACTGAGGATCACTGAAAGGTTATCTTTGCGAGGGTTTTTTTGTTTTGTTTTGTTGTTGTTTTTTTTTTTTTGCAGTCATACATCCCACATTTAAGCATGTACCTTGAAAAGAGTAGAAGGGTTAAGCGTTCTGTGGACGATTTGGAACTTTTCGATGATCAGCGCCGAAAAAGCGCCAGGATCATTTGATTTTTGTCATCACGCGGAGTGGATTTCGCCAGTTAAGCACCGCGTGCAAAAGCGATGACCTAAGTAGCAACTAACTAGGAATGCTTCAGTTCCGAAGTTTGAGAAATTGCAGTCTTCCTTTACAACTGACTTGTATCACCATGAGAGTTGCCTGATAAAACTGGCGCTTGAAAAGTTGAACAGAAGACAACAGTTGCTCGACCGTGAAGTTAACTCAAAAGTAATTTTCTAACGGAGGAATTATTGTGACATCGCGCTCCAGTCCAAAGACCCAGTTATCTCAAGAAAAACAAAATGCATTGTATCTGCGCCAAAAGAATTATGACTGACTAACAGGACAATTCTCAGCAGTTAATGTGGACGTTTGGGCTCAATTCTTTCCTTCAAATTCGCATCTGTAGATCACTTTTTTCCGACAAACCAATGGCTGGGCCCGGTGTTACAAAACATAGCAGGGAATCATCACACTAGCTGACGGACAAAAAAACCACAAGTACGACAAGTATTTATTTAGATAAACGCATTTCGGAAAAAAAAAAACGAGAAAAACTAGAAATTTGATTAATATTGAGTCATTTAGCCGAAATAAGAACCTTAACGCTAAAAAAAAAAAAATGGCTAAAGAAAACGAATCCTGTCAGAACTACAGACTGCAGGTAGTAGTTAATCATTATGCATGTACATACAGCAACTAGATGAATACGAGACTGATTCGGATACAGGAAGTGACGAAGAAGGTGACTTGAAAGTAGTGAGTAAGACATGTATGACCAGGTCCGGAAAAGCAGTACGTGCATTTGTACGTCCGGATCTATGAAGTCAGTGTTATTATATTATGGTTTTACGACTTATTTGTATTTACAGCGAAAATAGGTTAAGAGCTATCGCTTATTTAAACAATTTTTACTCCTTCGGTTTATTTTCTTTAGTATTTTTTTGTTACCTATAAATCACGTTAGTGGTGTAGTTTATGTGAATTCATTTAAGTATACTTTGATTTTAGTAGGGTCCACTTCAAAAGTGATTGATGTATGTGCTGAAATAAACAAGATTTGAATTATAGTGCAGTAATATACGTTACTAAAAAAATAATAGCTAACTAGAATTAATAGTTAACTGAGAATTAGCCAAACAATTAGCAGTTAACTGATAACTGGGTACCCCTATTAGCACCCTCAGAAATCTCGTCCTTACTCAACTGCCTTACATTCTTACCATATGAAATCTGTGCTGCGGGGTCTTACCCCCTATACATTTTATTATAGCTGGAGAGAGGAAAGTTTGAATATACACCGCAATTAAGGATACACTTTAAACAAAACACTCACCGTCTGATGGATTGGCGATTACAAAGTTGACCACTGCCAAGAAAGAAAAACAGAAACTGGCAATTAAAATCACGTTTTCCTTACAAACAATCTTCCCTTACTTTTGAAACAGGGCCTTGAGGAGTTAGTTTGTGTCCTTGATTTCAGTTGATTATATTGCCCAAATTCCCTTCTCTTTCCCTTTCGAACGTCTGCCACGCAGGCTACCTTTGTTTTACTGAAAATTGACCGATGAAACAATCATACGATCGTGTTACTCCACGTACCAACTTAACTGGTCCTGGTTGTTCAAACGTTAGGTAGCGCTATCAATCGAATAAAAATCTGTTGGATATATAACGCAATTGGTTTCCCTAATTCTTATCCGCTGGATAGTGATTAATATCCGGTGGATCAAAGTTTGAACAACCGGGGCCTGGTAAAAAATATTATCCAGCACTCCGGAAAACCGCTGAAGGCAATGATTGAGGACGAAAAAGAACGACTAAGATGAAAGCTTTGCTTTTCCGATACTCTTTTGAATGCGTCGCTCTTCCGGCGCCTTTCGTTCCCACCGAGCATGAGCAGTATTAACACGATCGCATGACGGTTTGATCGATTTTACAGTAAATGGTGAAGGTGATTCAGGCTATATAAACTGTAAAATTTTACTAGAATGACTACGATATAGATCAAAGGTCACAAATAACTCCTCTGCGCCTTCGGCTTTTGGGACCTTCGAAATTGAAGGCGGATATTTACTTATCGGTATGGGGTCTTTTCATTTCTTTTTCCACAGCCGCTACAAGCGCGTCTCTCTCGAACTGATATGATGCAAAATTCGTTTTTAATAAATACCGTATTTATTCGAATAAGCGCCCAACCTCGAATTAGCGCCCACCTCGAATAAGCGCCTATCCTAAAGGCAGAAAAAGTTAATAAGCGCCCAGCCTCGAATAAGCGCCCACCCCTACCCCACCCCTCTCCCACTCCCACTCAAAATGAAATAGGCGCCCACCCCCTTACACCTACCACCCCCCAAAAAGGAATAAGTACTAATAACAGACTTGCCCGAAGACGGATTTTTTTTCAGAGTGTTTTGCAGAAACCTTGCTTTGTTACATCTTCGCGTTTTGTTATTACCATTTACTGTTTTGTTGAAAAATATACATGTTACACTTCTTGAAAATGGTGAAAATTTAATAAGCGCCCACTCTCAAGGTCCATAAATTTAATAAGCGCCCAGGGCGGTTAATCGAATAAATACGGTATTTAGAACTGTAAAATCTCTTTTTCATAGGCCGGGGTTTCGCCATAGAATTAGAATCTTTTTTGTCAGTTTATTGAAATGACTAAGAACGGGCATTCACATAAAAATATTAATTTTCCATCAATGGGGGCATTATATTAGGAGTTCACAACGAAAGATGTAGACTTTCAAAAAAGAAAAAAGTCCCTCGTCAATCCGATTCCGACTTCGTCCTCGCAGTTTCAAAGGCTCGCTCCACTCGCTTAGAAAGCTCCTAAAAAGCTCGTTCCGCTCGCTTAGAAACTCGCGAGGTCGACTTGTAGCAAGTCTAGGAAAGATGATCGATGTTCTATACTATGTCACTAAAGGCAGCAGAATAAATGTTTATTACATACATACTGAGAAATACTCACCAAAAAGCTATGTCGCAAATTTTCGTACGCTAATTACTTCTAGCCAATCAGAGGAGCGAACGATGGTTTTCACACGTGAAAAAAATGATACGTCCAATCAGAATCGCGAACGATGTTTTTTCACGTGTGAGAAAAATGATACGTCCAATCAGAAGCCACAGAGGTTTGCGAGTTTCGCGCCAAAATTCCCGCCTTTTATTGCAGCTTGCAGCGCCGCTTCGCACACATTCAACGAGAAAAGTTTTATTCAAAGGG